TTATTTATTTATTTGTTTGTTTCTTTTCCAGCCAACTTCTTGTTTGCAGGACGCTTGCTGTCATCTGATACGGTATCACTTCGGCTGGCGGTACAGTTACACCAAATCTAAATATAACTGGGAATGAACGATTGTTTGTAATTCCACCGCGTTGCGTTAGCGTAATATGAGTTAACAAAGTTCGTGCAACATTTTAGCTGCTGGCAGTCCCTTTTTTTTATCTATCATATCCCTCGAAATCTCGCCGCCCCCAGAAACGATTAAGGTAATGACAATTGATCTGACGGCTTGAACAATACACTCGCGAACCTGCGAGATGCTGCGGTGGGCTGGTTAAAGACCTGGAATACCGTGCTACACGTCGCTGAAATTGACACTGAGAGCAGGCGCAATTGGCACAGATAGAGTACGAAATTGGGATGTTTTATAATGTATCAACTACAAACTTTCTGATGATACTCGTGTATAAAACATAGCAATTTGTAGACCACAAGGAGGCTTGCGGGTTGGAGGCAAAATATGTTACTGACGAACATTCAGGTAGGATTTCCTGTTGGTCTCCAACGAGCATCTCTAGCGAGCTTATCAACGGCTTTGAGCAAACACAGGGGGCCCAATCAGTATACCTCTAGCTTCTAGCAAGCGCCGGAATACAAATCAATATCTCTACGACTACGACCAAACGCAGGATTTCCAGCCATACGCCCACAACTCCGAGCAAGCGCTGGAGCGCTAGTCAATCTGTCTACGGCTACAAGCAAGCACATAATTCTAGGCGGTAAGCCCACAGCTCTACGCAAACCCAGAATTCTAGCCAACAATTTCTTCTTAGTCATCGACTTTGAACCGCTTCATAACCTACACCATACGCATAAAATATTTTTGTTTAATTAAAACGCTATTACTAACGCCATCACCTGTCTAAACAACAAGAAAGATAAAAAAAAAAAATCTTCACGTTGCAGCAGATAGTAACTTTAACGTAAAAATTCTGTAAAACTAGAATCGACAGCAGCTTCACAATCGTCTGAAGTACTAAATATATATCTCCAACTGCTGATCTGGTTGTCACTGCCGGCCTGGTTGTCGCTGCCGACTTGGTTGTCGCCATCTCTGCTCACTCAGCAACCGATGCAGTCACTGGCGTCGCCGTTGCCGGTGCCGGTGCAGTGCTGGCCCAAGGGACTAAACTGCGGGGCAAAACCAAGGAGGGCCATTTGGAAGGAGAGCCATTTCAACAGAAAGGACAGGCAGACCCGTTTTTAGGTCAGAAGATGTTTTGCAGACATCTGATGATTTCTTTCAGAATCCAGACCATCCTACAGATTGTACTATACTAAAACTAAATTAAAACCAAGCGTGTCCGCTGCAGAATCTATTAAAGTAGATTTGAATGAGCCTACATACAAAAATCTAGTTATTGTGAAAGCGTGTCGGTTGCGCACAGATGTGTCCGATGCATTTGTGAAATGGCGCCCAAACCAACACTCCCAGCCTGCGGCTACATCGTGGCGGACCTCGGTCTACCTCAAGCAATGGTCGACGAACTACTATCTGAGGCCAAGGCTAGGACCTACGTACCAGTCTTTAAAATGGTGGCCGGGGATGATGACGACGGTCTTCGTCAACAATCACGTATTAGCTGACGGTCCGCCGCTATCGCCAATCTACGCAATGCTATTTGTGATATCACTGCTTGCCTTGATCCTGCATGGAATCCTACGGTTTTCTCGTTCGTGCTGCCGTTACCTGGTGGTGATGAAAAAGAACCTCGCCAGGATTATCCTAACGAAGTGATTGCCACCGCGGCCAAGAAGAAGACAGGGCGTATACCTGCGAGCGCTATCTTTGCTCTGGATGAAGGGACGATTCTTCGAGCGTTCTCTGGCGGCTTCACGACACGAGACGACACCAAGGCTTGCGAGGTTCGTATTCCTGTGGGATACTGCATAATTTTCCGCGGAGACTTGATCCCCAACGGCATGCCCTACGCCGCCACCAACCATCAGATCCACTGCTACCTCTCCTAACATGGGCTCAAGTGGGCACCTGATATCGTCAGCAACGTGTTGCCCAAGCATGTCGTGTGTCAATACTGTGATTTGAAGCTTCAGGAATCTAACGACATGCGCCAGTACCGTCGGTACTGTGCCTAGGACCCGCAAGCACTCAAGAATCAGGAAACGCGGTGCCGCACGGACAATATAGAGGGTAATTGGGTGTGCGTTCTTTGTGGAGAAGCGTTTCCGAAGAGCGGTGTCTACAGGTCGCACGTGTTCCGTGGATGCAACAAGAAGTGTAAGGCTGATTAGTTAGCTAGCAAGTTAACATTTCAACACAGGTTGGGCGCCCTGTTCAAAGATAAGATATTTGTTGTTATACTAGATATTTTCTGTTTGAAGATAAGATATTTGTTGTTATATTAATTTTTATCTATCCTCAGCGAGCATACCCCCAAAACCGCGGTGGAATTCCTTGTTCTTGATATTCTGTAATATCCGCCGTTAGCATGTCTTGGAAAGTTGGCAGGCTAGCGATTTT